GCCTTCTGCGCCCGATTCCTGACCTCCCGTGCACATTCCTGTTGTTCTCGCGCACTGCCGCAACCGGTGACAAGCTCGCACAAATCGCTGAAAATCCCGGATAAAGAGAGGGCAGCCGGAACAGAGGGCGAGAGCACCGACGAGTCGATACCCCGGCCCCGCCGCCAGAGGGAGAGAGCGGAAGAGCGGCGGCAATCGGCCAGCGGCTGGGACGGCAGCAAATTGGCGTGTCACCCACACCACACTCTTCAGACAAATCTTCACGTCAGAGGATAATGAGAGTGTTATGGCGATGAATGGAAGGCATTTCGCCAGAGTGCCCTCGGGGCATTTGGTTGTCAGCCCAAAGATCATATTCGCGCCAAAGCCAGACAATGGCGCCAGAGAGCGGCTTGCTCTCAGGAGCGGGGCGCTTGGCGGATTTTACGGCGGAATTGATTAAACTCATCGCCTGATGAGGGCCCTCCGCACTGGGCTCGTTGGGGAGGTGGCTGTTGCGGTGACGCACGTAGATTGAGCCGGTGCCGCGTATTACTTGGATATTTCCTTGACCTCACACTGGCGCGACCTTGCCGCTGGAGGGTATTGAAAAGGTGGTATTTTGGGCATTTTCTTAATTCAAACAGCGTCGCGTGAGAGCATTGACATTTGCGTGTATTGCAAGGCACAACGGGTATGTTAAGACAAATACGCGCCGCTTTTCGATGCTGCAGAATGATCCACTTTGCAGACAAGGTAGGCGTTGTTTTTGGGAGAATGATCCCCAATGCAGTCAAGATAGGTATCATTTTTCGATGCTGCAGAATGATCCCCAACGCAGACAAGGTAGGCGTTGGTGTGGAACGAGCTGCTGACAATGACCGTCCTTTGTGGCACAAACGCGTGCCCTCGGCAGTGTCGACAGTTTCGACTGGCGCTCATTACACGCCGTTTTAGTTTCCAGGATATCATACAAGCCGATACGGCAAGTCTAAGTGCAGTCCTGTTATGTTATCCCCAGACCCAGTCTCATCGCTTTCACTATATATGAGATAGTTTTATTTTGAAACGTGATCTGATCCAGCCTGGTATGACACATCGTCGAAGAAACCCCTGCTCGTCTGTTTGAGCCCATGAACAACAATTTAGCGGCGGATGGAGTTAAAATCAAGGGTATCTCACCACCTTTACAGCTTATCGATACAAACATTTGCATCTTTGTGTTGAAATTCAGAGATGATGTCATAGATCTCCAGCAGAGATTCCAGAACGAGGTGATGACAGAACAAGCCCCGCCCCGCTCCCCGCCCCCCCCCCCCCCCCCGCCCCCTGGCTACATCTTTGATTGGCTGCTGAACGACATCATGCCATGAAACAATCAGCACGATGGCTCGGCCGTTATTCACTTGTCTGCACACTTGTCTTCGACTCAAAAAGCTTGAATCGGCTCAGAACTGACTCGCATATTTGGGATCCAATTCAGCTCATGACTCATATCTGTTACACATTTTTCAATCGATTCAGTTCAGACTCATTGCTTGCATTGAATCATTTGACTTATGACTCACATAGCTCGCAAATCGGAGATCTACTAAGTTTTCGCTTGTTTATATATGTGTATATATATATAAATATATATATATATATATATACATATATAATGCAAGAAATGTTACAAAAACAGTCTTCATATTGCTATATTTGTATATATATATATATATATATATATATATATATTTATAATCCAGAAGCCTGGTATGTCATAAAAAGCCAGAATGAAGTATATACTCAATAAAAAATGTAATGAGATAGCCCACATAGCCCAAAAGCAAAGATGTAGTTTGAGCCTGCCAAATGTAGCGCAGCAAACAATACATTTCCTATCACCTGTTACCAACCAGCTATCTCAAGTCTCAGCTATAAGGCTAGCATATTCCATATGGCACCTATGATAATAAAGCGTTTTCTAAAATCGCCACAAAGTTTGTGAATTTAAAGTTAGATGTTAGTTAGTTAGATAACATGCTGTGTAGACTAGACCGTAATTAGCCTGATATTTCACATTCTACACCTGCCAGGTGCCAGCGAAGCGCATTCACACGCAGGTGATCTCATTTCCATTAGCCAGTACCAGCTATGCTGTCAGCGATGGAATAAGGTGTGTCAACCACCTAACATCGAATTGCAGTTCTTGCAATAGCGATAGGGTAACATAAGTTATAAACATAATGTGACCTTATCTATGTACCTGAACTTGAAGTATTACCACTTACAGTTGCACTTCTCACCAACGTCATGCACAATCCATCAAAAATCCACTTCACACGACCCACGTCTTCCATTCAGCGAAGAGCTGAACTGACTTGTAGGTCCTAAAGTCTGAACAACTGAACAAGAAATAGGCTAACCTATGCACGGACAGTCGTTTTGAACAGGATGCCTCACGCTCATCCCACCAGGTCACTCCATGATGGGTGAGGTTTCTGCGCTGCGTAGAGATTAGTGCCGTGCGCCACGTTACCTGCATTCCAAGACGACGTAATTTCGAGACAAAATTCTCGCAAGTTACGTGTTGCATGGAAATAGCTGTTGATGATATACCTGGGAGTTCACACGCGACATGCAATGCGCACATGAGGCAAGACGGCCTACCTTGCTGTTTATTTTGCAAAGGTTCCGTAGAAGCATGCTTAGAGCAGTTCAATTAGTAATAAATCCGGGGTCCGGGGTCAGGGGTGAATCCGGGCTCAGGTGTGCATCAGCTCATTGTTGTGACAATTAGAAATAAAAAATATGATTCTTCCTTTGATTTTATAGGTAGCAGACAACCTTTCACTGATTTAAGGGTACGATATAGGAATGTGCCATGCAATATCCTCTGGCTTCTAGCTGAGGTTTGACAAATTGAAGTTCAGGATGAGCAATATTGTATTTGCTGCTTAAAAATTAAATTCACAAACTTAACGGAAATTTTAGAAAACGCTTTATTATCATAGCTACATGCTGTTTTATCACACCCTGAAATGGTTTGCTAATTTGTTCGTGGTGTGCTTTGTTTCCTCATGTTACCATTTTCATCTAAGCCATGTAACTTACTGACACAACGTTGTTATTAATGACTGGCACACGATTCAGCTCCTGAGATTTATGAAGAGTGTGATTCAGCTAATGACTCAAAGCAATATTTTGTTCTAGTGAATCGATTCAGCACATGACTGAACCCAAAATGATTGACTCATGAGCCGATTCATGATTCACCTCGAGTTGAGCGCGAGTCCGCTTGTTTATCCCCATGCCTAAAACCAACGACTTAAGTCATCCTCAAGGCACTCTCTTTATGAACGCGCATAACAAAGCCACTCCCTGGTGTTCACCGTTTATGTTCCCGAGTCTTCAGCGTCCCGATTTCGTCCGTACTCGCTGCTGCCTCGTGTGGCAGCGTTAGCATCGGCTCGGACCCGGGGAGGCCAGTGTCTCACTCGCCGGCCCCTGATGCGGCGGCTGGGCCCGCGGGGTGACCCGGGCTCGCCGACTGGCCCGGGTCACCCCTCAGCCCCCAGGGGTGGCGGGCTGAGTCGAGGCTCGCCTGCCGTTGACGCCGCGGCTGGGCACGCGCGCCAGACCCGACTGGCCCGGGTCACCCCTCAGCCCCCAGGGGTGGTGGGCTCAGTCGAGGCTCGCCTTCCGTTGACGCCGCGGCTGGACTCGCCCACCAGACCCGACTGGCCCCCAGGGGTGGCGGACTGAGTCGAGGCTCGTCCGGCCATGATGCCGCGGCTGGACCCGCGCACCAGACCCGACTGGCCCCCAGGGGTGACGAGCTCAGGGAGGGTGGAGGGCTGAGCCGAGGCGTAACCGATCCGTCCAGCGCGGCCCTAATCCTTCCGACCCCAGCGCGCTTTTATTAGCGGCCGGCGGCCAAGGTGAAAACAGGCTGAGAGTAACCGGGCACAAAGATGCCCATCAGAGGCACAAAGCCGCGCGACTAAAGCATTTTTCCACGGATTAGCCCAGCTGCCGGGTAATCTGGTATTACAGTAATCCGGACTTGTATTTGGCATTGTGTGCACTGTGGCGTGTTCAGTCGACGGCGCATTACCCGGGAGGGGGGGGGGGGGGGGGGCGGCACCACGTGCGCCGTGGCAGCAGCAGACAGCGTGAGCTGCTCTCGGGCGGCGCCCAGCCGGCTGGTGATTCGGCGCCATACGTCATCGGAGCTCCAATCAGAGCTTACCTCTAGCATGGGTCGGTAGGATCACCACAATCACAGCATGGCAGTCGGAAGCCGTCAACACTTGAAGCTGACTTGAGCCTGCTGACGTGACAGATGGTCCTGTTCGCCGAATGTCGGCGTCACTTCATGTGAGCGTGCTTGTGGCCTCCAACAACTTTCAACAGGGTTTTGGAAGCTCTTACATAATAAGGTTATTCTGCACAATAGAAATAGCTGGATATTTACAAGACTGATAACGTTGCAGATATAGATTTACCGCTGCGGTCAAAAACATACTTGACCGCTGCCCATAAACTTTTTGAAAGCAAACAAAATTCCTCTCTTTGATGGCCAGGCGCCGAAAGTTTGCCTTTTCCTTTGATACATTTGTATCGTCTAAAATGTAATTATGGACATGCTTCCGATGATTTTGCTCTCCAAATCCGTTCCTGAATGCTCTTCCACTGAAACTACAATGCCGCTGCGCATCTTCACCGCTGATGACGTCACGGAAAAAATCAAACTGAAATTGGTCAAAGACCTGGTGTCCTGGAGCTTCGAAAATATACTAGGCAGTGCGCCTGTATGGTTTTCATGACCTCGCCACTCTCAGTGAATCCACCCAGACGCTCATGTTTCAAATGATGTTTTTTTATTAATTGCATTCTGTTTTATTGAAGGGAGAGTTCCACGTTTATATGGGGTTTTGAACTGAACTGAACATCATGAAGATCTTTCGGTGCTGTTAACAATCGTACCCTTCTTAAGACCAAAGCCCCTCTAGTTTCTGAGCTACACGCCCACGAACATGGGGAAAGTTATATCGGGGTAAGTGTTTCAAAGACACCTTCGTATTCATGGCGCCTTTTTAATGTCATTTATATCCTAGCATTTCCATGCGGCGATCAAGGCCAAAAATCAGATTAACGGCGTCAATTGGCTTTTAAGTTAAATTGTGCGAGGTTAGATGACGTAATCAATCCATGACGTATTGAACAGCTTGTTCACTAAACAGATAATTGTGCTGTCTAGTACAGTCTTTCCCCTTAAAAAGTACACCAATAGGTATATAAGTGAGTTTGTTTTATCGTATCCGATGCTTGCTGGAATATCCTCAAATGTGAAACATTCTCTTTGATAGTACCGCTAACGCATGCTCCTTTGCGCATAGGGGCAATAATGCCGCCAAGGCGCTGCAAAAGTTATTACAGTGTACGCCTGTACAATTGGCAAATATAAAGATTTGGAATGAATGATGAAAACACTCTGCAATGCACTCCCTTGATCAGAAACGAGTCTGCGACAGGCCGAATGCCTCCTAACCCTTTTGAGGTGGGGTTTGGCTCTCGGGTGGGGGTAGGAGACCGTGCCTATCCTGCTAATGTGCAGACGCCTTCCTCCCTCGAAACACCAGCCAGCGCGTGCGGAGCGGTACGAACGACATCATGCACAAGGCGCGTCCGCGGCAACTGCAGTACCTCAAGCCACAACCTGTTGCCTACAAGGCAGGTGCTCTTGGCTGGAATCACCGAAATTTTAAGGGCTCGGGCCAAAGCATGACTCTGGGTCACATACCTCGACAATTACATACATTCTTCGCCGTTCATAATTCATCATTGTTTTTGCCGTCATCAACAGTTTACGGTGTAACATTGTGACAAAGTCGCCAGAACGCTTTAGTGGTATCATGATCGCAACCCCGCACGAGGACACGCTTGTTACTACTGCTCCATGGATCGTAGAAGGTTTCAAGTGACAACAGTTCTGGCATTCTGCTGTTTGCTGTGGATATGAAGCCCGCTGGGTGGAATTCAAATGCCTTCTGCGTTCCAAAGGCATTGACTTGAAAGGTGCCTGACATTTTTTGGCGTGCCCAGTCGGTTCAAAGGTGTGTTTTGACCCCATCCAATATAACGATACTCAATTTCAGCGTCTGTCTTTTTGGTATCGTGAGTTCAGAGTTCTGAGGTTGACTTATCGACCATGAATATGCCAGGAGGTGCTGGTAGAACGGCGTTGTAGAGCAAACATGGGTTATATCAATTGCATTGGACGCATCAAGCCGCGCTTGATTGCTCTGAAATGTTGCATGCGCTGAAAAACTCGGCAGACTGACCGCGGTTGGCTGACGTAAGCATGCCTCAAGGAGTGCCTTCGAAACATCATACCGTATTCATGCTGAATGTTTTTTTTAGAGACATTCACACTTGATTCCGGACGATAGCGTTGCCGGGCCACCATTTATGTAATGTTTCAGCATTGTGCCCACTGTGGTGCATGTAAATCATAGCTTAGAAATAATAAATTGCTCTTGGAGCCATCCGACCCTCTCAACCATTTCTGGAAAATTCCGTCCTCTACTTACAGGTTCATCCGGTCAACCAACATTGGCATATCTCCGCGGTGTACGTGCCTGGGAAAGTCAAAGATGCCACACACGCTTTACGCGTACAGATAGTTAGAATAACGTTTTGCCTTTCATTACCTAGTCTGGTTCTTTGTGGTGTGGAAATGCATGATTTCAGCATCAGACTCTTCCCAACATTTGATCCATTCATAGAAATTACCGTATGAGTCCACAGCTTTGCTGGACCGCGTGGAAACGTCTTATCCATGTTAATTGAACGAAACGGATAATCGCGTCTTATCCCAGTAGGATGATACGTTACAGCCACAAAGAAAGCAGATTCGGACACGGCCGCCGGCTTTAGGCAATCCTAGAGTCCACAGCTTTGCCGAACGCCGATGAAATCCGTGTGAGATCTGAGCCACCGGCCGCCCCGCCTCCACTGCCCGCTGATTGGTCCCCGCCGCATCAGGCTCCGCCCACCAAGCCGGTCGCTGGCCGGTGTGCGGCCGGCGCAGGGCAGTGGTGTAGCGCCAGGGCTGGAGAGGGGGAGGATGGTGGAGAGCGGAGAGCCGACCCGGTCGCCGCCGGCCAGCCTGGCCGGGCCGCATCCGCTGCTGCTGACGCACCCCTACCTGTACCCGTCGCTGCCGTGCTTCGGCGGCGGCCTGTACCCGCTGTCTGGGCTGCTGCGCGTGCGCGGCCCGGCGCCATACGCCGCCTCCGCCAGCCCGCCGCGGCCGCACGACAACCCGTTCGGCATGGACACCATCCTGGGCAGGCGGCCCGCCGCCGAGCCGGCGCCCTCGCTGTCCGGCCTCGGTGCACTCCATCTGCACCCGGACGTGTTCGGTAGGTGGACGCCGCGGTGACGCGCGCGTTGGGGCGGCCCTTAGTGCGGCCCTACACCGTTCAGCGCAGATTGAGCCTGAGGGGCTCAGTGAAAGGTGCTTGTGTTGAAAGGTGGGGCGTTTTCCGTGATTGCCTGGGCGTATTTTCCACTTGGACTTCTGGGATTTAGCAGCCGTGCAGCCATCTCCATCGTGGCAGGTGATTTGAGGGTCATGTCACAAAGCAGTGTCCATTTACCCATTAAGGCGTAAGGTCGTCCCAGAAGCGGATACATCAAGCTCCTGTAAGATGACCTCTTTTTATGCATCATCATGGGTTTAATTCGTATTTCACTTCGACGAAGAATGAGAACACAGTGGCTGTCTCCCGTCCGGTGGAAACGCATGATCGTATACCAGTGATTTAAACCCTACGTCAGCCATTTTGTTTCACTTTAATTTTAGACAAATTTGAGTGTTTGCCCCTTACGATACACACGCTGACGAGTGCGTTTTTGGCGACCAGGGCAATGACAAAGGGGTTCTGCAAATAGCAATGTGAATGAGGCAATTAGAAAACATTCTTGACGTAAGTAATTGCCTGAGTAACATTTGTTCGCAGTTGCTGTAGAATAGAATGTGCGAATGGGGAAATACCCGAGCTGTGCCTTGACAGCTCATAGTGCAGAATAAATTGCCCGCAACCAGGGACCTTAACATGGGTAAAGGCTTATAAACGGCCAGCGACGTAGTTTCGTAAAATAAGCTCGAGGCGAGGCTGGGTAGGAAAAGTGGCTAATCCCAAAATACGTAAAAATGTGTTTCACACCGGATTTGGTTCACCTTCTTCTCCAAGTTCCCAACCTGAAGCTCACGCCCCCTCCCCAAACTGAATAGGAAAGTATCAGGGTACAGGAATAAGCTTCATGTGCTCTTCTAAACATAACTCATATCTGCGTATTCGTTCCAAGAGACACTTACGCCTACCACCTGCCTTTTAGCGGTCACCGGATTTCTTTCGTATTCCGGAATCGAACGGAAACTTAATACCGGATGTTTGAAAAACGTCAACATTTTTTGAATTAATATCGTTCGATAACGCACGTAACAAGTGGGCGTATTTTGAGTGGTAAGGATAATAGGTTCATTCGCCCTGCCTTTATCCCGCCACGTCTCCTCTGAAAGCAATAAGCACGTCAAATAAGCGGGATTTTAGAACACTTCCTCACATTGGCTCTCTCATTATAGTTCGGTCAGGGTGCTGGTCGTGTCTCAACGGAAAAAGACCATGGTTGCAGGGTAATAGCAAGTGTTGCTAAGAGCCGGATCGCAGGTACAGAGGTCTGAGCGCCGGCCAATCAGACTGATTGTGTAACGCTTCAGCGGCCCTGTCTGGCCCGGCCAGTCATGTTCTCTTGACTGGACGTTTTGTGCCACCAATGAGCCACGCAGTTTTCAAAAATAGTGGGTACAATTATATACGCATATATATATATATATATATATATATATATTGCTTGCTTACTAAATTGTGATTCATATAAACGTATGCAGATTCAGTTATGCTTCGTATATTTACTCGCGACCTATTTTACAGCTACCAACGGCTGCATCGTCAGACAAAACATAAACGCGTCCAATGTACGCAGTGACCAAATGAAATGTACCGGTACATTTGGAGGGGAGGGGGCTGTGTGTCACTGCATGCATGCCGTTTCCGAATTGTGAAAATCTGGAGGTCCAGGTCGCGATCGAAGCTCCGGTCCAGCTGTCAGTCCCCCGATGCTACGCCACAAGAAACAAGCCCATTTTGACGGAGGAGAGATCCTCAAGCATATGGACAAGAGCGTGAGTGGTAGCGACGCGACCTTGTGCAGATGGAGCGGACGAGATTTAACCTCGTTACTTTTCAAGCACCTCCAAAGGGCGGTGCATGGCAGTGACTTGACAAGCGTCACACAAGCGTCACACGTCCGCAGATCACTGATCAATCTGACTGTTCACACGCCAGTGCGCCAGAACCAGACCGGAGAAGAGCCGGCGTTACATTTCCGAAATAAACGTCGATTACGAAACGCTAAAACCCCAGGCAGTACCAGCCTCAATGGCATTTAATTTTAAGCATTTTTCTCCGTGAATGGGTACCCGCACGCTGAATATGAGTGTAACTCTGCCTTCTAGGCATAGGGCAAATAATTTGTTATGCAAGTTTTTCAAGATCATTTATCCTTCATGGGCTTCCAAAGCGACGCATTTTATTCGTTAATGCTTTGGTACCATGTATGTACAAGATAACAACTGACGTCATCTCTCAACTGGTTCGTCCAAGCTGCGCCAGGTGTAATAGTGGCGCTCAAATTTCTAGCTTACAGTGTAGTTTTCAGTCTTCAAAAACAAATATCGTAGCCATCAGCATAAAATCCATGCTCTCCTGTTCTTCAACCGCCTTCGTGCAAAATACCCTGTCATAAAAGCTGTTCCAAATTGTGTAATATTGCCGTACTCGAACAACTACAGTGAGCATTGACAGGTGACATCCGGTTGGTTATCGAAGCTTTCAGACACTTCCTCCCCATGTCAGTACAGCGCCTATCACGGGTGACTTCCGGTATCTGAGGGGGAGGAATGTTGAGAGCATGCGTCGGCAGCCATACTTTTGACCGGATTACTTCCGGACACGCGGCACGGCTGTAGTCATGAACGTCACAGCATGTCACTTCGATCGCAATGTAAAGCAAACCAGCTCTGAGCACCTTGCGTGGATGGGCGGAGTACGCCCGGGAGTGTTCAGGAGTCCGGCTGGGCGAACGTATGCCCGGGAGTGTTCAGGAGCCCGGCCGGGTGGAAATACGCCCGGAAGTGTGCAGGAGTCCGGCCGGGTGGAAGTACGCACGGGAGTGTTCAGGAGTCCGGCCGAGTGAAAGTACACCCGGAAGTGTGCAGGAGTCCACCACTGGCAACCATCGCACCCGTCGATATCCTGTCACCAAGATGTTTTGTGTGACCCAGTCGCATCACTCTGCGCCATTCCGGCCCGGCCGTCGCGTCACACGCACCACCGTTACCCCTTACGGAGGCCGCCCCCCCCCCCCCCTCCCCGGCCAGTGCCTTGGATTCCGAAGTCCCTCAGCCCACTACCGCTTTCCCGCGGCCCACCACAATCGGATGTCTACAACTCGATGGAGACACTTGTCCCGCCCTGGACCCCGCGCGGGGCGGCGCCCCGTGACGCAGCTGCGCCCGTGCTCACAGGCGTGCCGCGGCCACTCTGTCCGGGCCTCTCGTGCCTGGCCATGCCGCCGCGCGCGCTCACCTCGCCCGCCAAGCGGAAGCGCCGCCACCGCACCATCTTCAGCGAGGAGCAGCTGGAGCAGCTGGAGGAGACGTTCGAGAAGACTCATTACCCGGACGTGCTGCTGCGCGAGCAGCTGGCCGTGAAGGTGGACCTGAAGGAGGAGCGCGTCGAGGTGGGTGATGCGGCGAGGCGCTCCGAGGAGCCGGTGTCAAGCTCGCCTACTTGCCTCTCGGTCTCGGTCGCGGTCTTGCACCATCGGATGGTTCGTACCATCCACAGTACCTTAGCCACAGTTGTAGGGAAACAGGATGTCATGCACAGACGTCCGCCCTCCCCCTGCCCCTCCCCCATACTTTTATCCTGTGTTGTGATAAAGTCCCGACATGATACATTGGATACCGCTGTTCATGGATGCCTCTGTCCCTGCTTGAGGATCATTATTTATTGTTGGGCACCAGGGAAATTGCAACGAACGAATTTATGGACAGACATGCGATGGGAATCTGTAACCACGAGTACAAGGCTTCTGGCTGCTCATATGAACACCGTAGTTGCTGGCGCCCCATGTTTACCACGGCACTGTGGTTGCTGACGCTCCATTCAAACCGCAACACTAGAGTTGTTGGCGCTCCATCCCAACCACAACTGTAGTTACTGCGGCTCCATGTTAACCAGGCCACTCTGGTTGCTGCGCTTCATTCAAACCGCAACACTGCGGAGCGATATCGTACGGTTATGTTGCGGCTTGCCACGTCAGACCGAATAATGCGGTGTTGCAAATATATTTCATGTTCGCTGGCTGCCGTGCTTCCTTTTCCCATTACGTCGCTGGCTGTCGTGTTTCCTTTCCTCATGATGTCGCTGGTTGCCGTGATTCCTTTCCCCATTACGTCGCTGGTTGCCGTGATTCCTTTCCCCATCGCGTCATTGTGTCGCTGGTTGCCGTGATTCCTTTCCCCATTACGTCGCTGGCTGCCGTGCTTCCTTTCCCCATTACGTCGCTGGCTACCGCGATTCCTTTCCCCATGATGTCGCTGGTTGCTGTGATTCCTTTCCCCATGATGTCGCTGGCTGTCGTGATTCCTTTCCCAATTACGTCGCTGGCTACCGCGATTCCTTTCCCCATGACGCCGCTGGCTGCCGTGACTCCTTTCCCCATGACGTCGCTGGCTACCGCGATTCCTTTCCCCATGATGTCGCTGGTTGTGTGATTCCTTTCCCCATTATGTCGCCCACATGCTTTGGGATTCATTCTGCCGGGCCTTGTGCTTTTTATTCACCCAGTCCCTCGATCGCACTGCGTTGAATTTCCTGTTAACTGGCGGTGTGACGTCCTGAATACGCCTGACGATCATCGCATTAACTTAATCGATGCTTATCGACAGTCTGACTTCATGCATAAGTCACACCGTCCGCTGTCGCTTTCTTCGGCGATTGCGACAGCCTGCTTTATATTAATGTTGCCATTGTCACCACGCACCTGTTGTGCATGCTGTGCGAAGAATACCACACTATTTAAACGGTACACTGGCAAATTCTACGCCTTTGGCTCTAAGCAATGTGCATCCTATAGGTATAATTACCTGAAACTCCACATTCTTCCAGAGCTGGCCTGCTTTTGCGCCCAAATGGAGTGTTTGAAGCAAAAATTCAAGCTATTCTATCGAATGTATATCAATGCCAGCACATCACTGTCGGAGGACACGGAAACAAAAACAAAAAACGGACGTTCATTTAAAGCAGAGTTTCACTTAACCGATGCTAAGAATGCGGTCCATCGCACAACGTGGTCCGCAGTTTGGGTCATAGCACAGCCCATTACACACGGAATTTTCTAGTCTTTGCATGTACCCGGTCGATTGCTGGTGGCTGATGTCCTATGCTGCTATCAGAAAAGCACCTTTGCGCACCTTGCATGACTTGTGGTCGCACCGAGCAAACAGTGTGCGGTTGGTTTCAAAACCCCGCTTTTCAGGGATGCATCACAAATTTAAATAATCTTTGAGCATTTCTGAAACATGCTCAACACTTTTATTGTTTCCGATGTCAAGCAAATTAAGCTCAGTGCTTGTGGCGTGCTCCCTTGTGGGGTTCGCGGGGCTCGCGGGAGGGTAGGAGGGCACCACAGCCCACTCGCGACTGATATTTGCAAACGTCTCCGGAGGGACGGGCCGTTGCGGGTTTCAGGATGAAGTATGAATGAGGACGGAAGGAACGGGTGTGGCTTTGGCGTCAACTGAGACAAAGCTGCACCTCTAATATATGAGAATATCAGCATCGTGTGTACGGTGTTGCATAGAAAGAATGAATCCTGAAATGTCATTCGCATCCTCAACATCTTTTGTTAGAAAGTTTTGGTACTGATAAAAGGGTGACAATTTTTGGACACGAGAGGCTGGCACTGCCTCACACCATCGTCGAAGCGCGATTTTTCCACCCGAGCTAACACCGGTTAATAGTACTCGATCCTTCACATCCCGTTACCACGCTAACATGAACCCCTTGCAAGCATGACCTTTTCAACCTTACGCAACTGCACACCCTACAATGATATGCCACCGAATGGCATCCACAGCTGACGTTTAGTGCAAGAGCCGGCTGAAAATCGCTTGGAAATCGTGGGAACAGTGATATACAGTTCTATACATGACACCGTTTTACAAAATTGGTTTAGGAGCTGAAAAGGAAAATGTTCAATCCTGCTCACAAAATGTGCCAAAAAACAGGCACAATTTGGCTCGCTTTCTCTACAAAGCCGGTGTGTTAGATTCCCCTACTGATTTGGGAACAACACTGCTATCTGCTTCTGTGCGTTAGTATGCCCTTTTAAGGTCACGAGTAAGCATTTCCTTCTTCCTCGCACCAATCTGCTTCCACTGCTTCTCGCCGCATCGCGGTTCGCGACGCAGAGCTCACGCTACAGCCAATTTCAACTACTCGCTGTGGTCGAGTTTCGTGGCGCAGCGGCGTCACCGCCCGCCGCCGGCACCACGGAATGGCTCCACGGGCGGTCCGGAGTTGTTGACTGCCGCGGCCGCCGAGCACGGCCGGCCCCGTCGGCAGCGTTCCGATGCGACGGCGGCGGTGCGCGGTGGCCGCCCAAGTCTGGAGGCCGCCGGCACCAGCAGCGCCGCCGGCCGGCTGCCAGGCGGCTCCTCTCCCACACGGCTAGTCGGCGCCCGCATCTAAATTTATAATCTTGTCAAAATATGATACTGTTATCAAACCAAACACTGTTAGCTTTCTAAACGGCTAAAAGAATACGATGAGTCAACACCGCGGGCATCCGTGTTTTTCGGCAGAATGGGATGGGCGGCGAACAGAGCCGATCAATGCTCGGGGAGACCGACCGATACACGGTCCCCACATTAGGCGACCGGGGGTGGCCGGCCTCGAGAGGTGTCTCGCAGGGACACGCAGGGGTGAGAGCCGTGAGAAGACAAACAGCCGGCCGATTTGCTCACTGCCGCCGTGTCCGAACTGTGACGGGTCGTGCGGCGCCGTTTTAGACGGCGCCGAGCAGCCGGGAGTGGCCAATGGTGCGGCAGTCTGTTTTGGTGCGCTGCTGACGGTAGGTAAGGCCGCGAACACACTCAGAATGCCTTCGACTTTCTCTGCTTACTTTGTCACTTCGCACGAACGCTGGCCCGGCAACTTACAACGATGAAAGTCCTGAACACAGTCATGCTACGAATAACTTCACGCCAGCTTTCTTCTTAGAAATATAGCATTTCACGGCTGACTTTTCGGACCTGTGCCTTTGAGAATACTCTTGTCATATATCTTGAGAATACTTTGAGAATACTCAAAGTCAAATGAAAAAGTTAACTGAAAAAGTCGAGCAGCCAAAAGTCAAAAGGGGAAAAGCCGTCGTCGAAAAGTCGTCGAAAAGTCGTTAAAAAGTCGAAAAGGATATAAGTGACAAAAGATTAAGTGACATTATGGATAAAAGTCGAATCGGAACAATTTCAAGGACAAAGAGTCGAGAACGATAGAAGGCGTCGGGTATGTAGGTTGTTTAGGAAAAAGATCGAGTCAGAAGGGACTGGACGGAGTATGATGCTACAGGCGAGTAAGGGCGAAAACAGACAAGACTAGACGGAAGTGGATGCGATCGGACGGGACCGAACGCGGTCAGGCGGAACCGGACAGAACCAGACGGAATCAGACGGAACCGGGCGGAACCGGGCTAAACAGGACGGAACCGGACCAAACCAGACACATTTAGGGTCAAAACTGCCTGCCACCGCTGTTGGGTGATTCGGATCAGTGCCGGCCTGGCTCAGCAAACTACTGACATGCCAGCAACGCCTGCTATATCAAAGGTTGATGGTTCAACAAGAGGACAGCTGAGTTCATAATACCGAAGAAACAGGAGCTGAAGGCCCTCCCTGCTTATATCAAGTTCACCTGGTCCATTGGATGACCGCATATCGCCTAGCTGTCATGTGTTCAGGAGACTGATCTGTCATATCACCGACTTGCCATGCGTCAAGCGCAGACCTGTCATGCGTTCAGCGGGCCAACTTGTCAGCCACACAATGGGCTGCCTTCTGTCAGACTCGGACTTATTATAAGTCTGGCAGACTGCGCCGTCATGTGTCCAGCAGTGACCTGTTATGTGTCACGTGCTGATTTGGCCCTGACCTCCGACCGTCGGCAGGGCGCCGCCAAGTGTCCAGCAGAGCCCTTTTGTGTGTCACGAGCTGACCTGGCCCTGACCTCTGGCCGTCAGCAGGGCGCCGCCAAGTGTCCAGCAGTGCCCTGTTGTGCGTCACGTGCTGACCTGGCTCTGACCTCCGGCCGTCAGCAGGGCGCCGCCAAGTGTCCAGCAGTGCCCTGTTGTGCGTCACGTGCTGACCTGGCTCTGACCTCCGGCTGTCAGCAGGGCGCCGCCATGTGTCCAGCAGTGCCCTGTTGTGCGTCACGTGCTGACCTGGCTCTGACCTCCGGCCGTCAGCAGGGCGCCGCCAAGTGTCCAGCAGTGCCCTGTTGTGCGTCACGTGCTGACCTGGCTCTGACTTCCGGCCGTCAGCAGGGCGCCGCCATGTGTCCAGCAGTGCCCTGTTGTGCGTCACGTGCTGACCTGGCCCTGCCCTATGGCCGTTGGCAGGGCGCCGCCATGTGTCCAGCAGTGACCTGTTGTGTGTCACGTGCTGACCTGCCCTGACCTTTGGCCGTTGGCAGGTGTGGTTTAAGAACCGGCGCGCCAAGTGGCGGAAGCGGCGGCGAGAGGAGCAGGAGAGCCGGCGACCGGCGGCCGACCCACGCGCGTCACCTCCGCCGCTCGGAGCCGGCGCCACCGCCGCGCCGCTAGACACCGCCGAAGACGAGGCCCTCCAGGTCGACTAGGCCCAACCGACACCCGAAAGCGAGGCCCTTCAGACCGATTAGGCACCGCCCAGCACCAGGAGACGAGACCCTCCAGATCAACTAGGCCCCGCCCGGTGCTCGAAGACGAGGTCCTCCAGGTCGATTAGGCCCCGCCTGGCGCCCGAAGATGAGGTCCTTCAGGTCGGCTAGGCCCCGCCCGGCGCCCGAAGACGAGGCGCTCCAGGTTGAATAGTTCCTCGGGTGCGAGGGGCCGCCGGAACTGCGGTGCTCGGGAAGAGGCGTACGGCGCGTGCGGGCGAGAGGCATTACTTCGTCAGGGTGTGGTCTGTGTTGTGTACAGTTAAAGAGAGGATTCCATATTCATATGGGGTTTAACTGAAATAAACATATTAATACTTTTCAGTGCTGCTTGCAAACCTGCCCTTCTTAAGACCTAGGCCCGTCTAGTTTCTGAGGTACACACCCACAAAATGAGATAAGGTATATCGGTAAGAGTATTTCAAAGTCAACTTGGCATTCATGACGTCATAATAAAGTCGTCAAAATCCTGCCATTCCATAAGTCATACGGCGATCGAGGCCAATAAAAATATGATTGTGCTCACATCTGGCGTTCGTGAGCATGATTTTCAGATATCACGGTCGTCGATATGCTCTCAATCAATGTGTTGGGAGGTGCGATGATGTAATCAAACCATGACGCATTGTGGAGGTTTGTGGTATCCAGAGCAGCCATTTCCACTTAAAAAGTATACCAATAGTTGTAAATTAACCTGTTTCATTGTACACGATGTTTGCTTCAATGTATTCAAATGTGGAACATTCCTTTTAACGTGTTATTTATGCAAACATGGTAGAGTTTCAGTAGATGTCGATCATCATGTCACTGAATAGTGTTTAGGGAACCCTTGCGCCATTGCTTAGGGCAAATGTTCGAAGGTTTCCCTAACTCAGACACGTTTAAGCTGATGTATGTACGTACTTGCAGAGGTGTTATGTAGAATTCAGATGCGGTTCTCTGAGACGCTTGCGTGATTCTCCCATGTACCGGTGGAGTTCTTAGATGTCGTTTAGTGCGACGGTTTTTGTCTGCCATCATTGAATGTGTTTTAGTGGGGACGTACCTGTGCTTATGTAACAGCCTTCTTGCGTCGTCCGAGTCGTTCTGAACGCGTTCATTTGTGCACGCACGGCACCGTCCCGCGACCCAGCGACAGTAGAGCCGCATGGCGAGCTGGTGATGTTAGCGACACGTCGCGCTAGCATCCTGATGCAGTCACCGTTTTGTGACTTGCACCGCTCGTTCTTCGTTACCGAAATTTTGGGTGCTTTTCAATTTGTTGATGGCATGGTCAAACTACTAGTGCATATTTCGAATGTAGTAGTTATTGACTAATGAAAAAATATAAATCTGTAACCATGAGGAGCATTGCGCCGCAGAGCATGCGTACAACTAAAACAAGATTGAGTTCATTCACAAACTGGGAGAAGCGTGTACGCTTTGTTTTGAATCTAACTCGTATGCCACAAAGCGATGCGTTTTGCAAGGTCTTTTTATATGTTCAACAGTGGTCAAGTGGAATTTGCCCGTACAAGACATGATTATTTATAGCGGTGGTTGTCTCAATCTATGCGTCTGTCAAACGCTGACCACTTGGAAACCCCTTGCTGGTACCTTTATGATGAGGAAAAGTGCGCAATAAATGGCCTGTAGATGCTGATATCTGGCTGCGGAAGGATTGCTCCCCTGTGGCAACCACAACGTTCGTTTCCTTTTTCAGGACGCAGCAGTGCGTGAAACTACGGTTGTCAGGCACATGGCCGAGGTTAAAGCATAAACCAAGACCAGTCAGCGTTAGTGTTGTGCGGGACGAGCGAGGCAACTATAGACTTTGGTTATTGGTCATCATCGCACGGATGGCTCCGAAATCTAAGTTAAGGGAGCCAGAGACTTTGGGAACCCATGCAAGCGAGTTTAATCAGTTCGTTGAAAAATTTGCCTTTCATAAGAGTTTAGCATGCCGCGCTTCGTTGATGCAACGTTCCCAGAGAGATAATGTCTCAGAATGTCTTAAACTGATTTGCGATGGGTTTCTCCAGGACTGGAAGCTTTGATACACCAAATCGACGAATTTGTAGCGCTTTGCGTTTTTGACAGTTGTGACCAAGGCTTGTTCCGGCGTTCGATCTTGTTTAGGCCAAGACCAATTTTGGGGACAAAGTTTCATATTTGGTGTTAAATACAAAACAATCCGTCAAAATAGTTGTACTAATATTGGTATTTTTCCACTAACTCGCATGACCATGACCCGTTGGTTCCTTCACCGATGGTTGCAACCTTTAACTGTGATCGAACTACTGCGAAAAATCCCAAGATTGTGTGGTGGCTGGTGACTGTTTGCATTAAACTGGACAATGTCGGTGTGGGTGTTCAGTGGCCTAGTACCGCTCCGTTTAGACCATATCATGTTATAATCGAGGCCAGTTTTAGACAACATAGCATTGGCCATTGGCCTGTTTTTGGTGGATGACAGGCGCACTCTCGGATCAGACAGTTCTGAGATGGCTCAACGATTCGCCGACGTCGCGTTCGATTACGCTGCGCGGCTCTCATCTGTCTGCATCTGCCATGGTAACCAAGATCCAACATTCATTCTTAAGAAAAACCGGGCGCAGTTTATAGTGCATGGTTTTCACTCGCGTTTTCGTGACCGGCTCCACACATCGGCTCAAACTTTGTTTTCCCGCTTTTCTGTTTGCTCTCGTGTCAAAATCGATTTGCCGCTGCATTGCCAGTCGTCTAGGTCTGTGCCCGGTTTCGATAGTTCCTAGGGAAAAGTCGAATGGAAAAAGTCGAATGGAAAAAGTCAACTAAAAAATGTCGAACGGTAAAAATTCTTCAGGATTAAACTCTAGTAGGGAAAGCCGAAGCCCAAAAGTCGATAAGAATGAAAATGCGACTGGAAAAAGTCGGACAAAGATGGGACTGGATGGATGGGTCTGGATGGGACGCGACGAGAGCGGACGGGGCCGTATGGGACCAGATCACACCAGGGTGAGGGCGCCCTTCGTTTCAGAGACCCAACAGCTTGAAACACCGTCCCCCAGCATTGCAACAGGCTTGTGGCGTATGTTCATTGAAACAAGCGGTGACAGAAACTTTCTCAAAAGAAGGGCACCTGCCCGACTGTACTGAGGCAAATGTTGAGGACGATTGTCTTGACGAGACGTGGGAGAGAGTTTATCCGGGTGAACCTCAGATGAAGTGCACACGTGTTTCGATGATAACGCTGATGCGTTGAGAGCGCGTGTGTGAGCTGGCTGGTCACATACCTTGTGAATTCCCAGTCCTGTGAATTCGTACTTAAATATATCGCAAATTATCTCAGCATATGCTGGTAAATTATGCGAACACTCCGTATTTATGTTTATGCAAGGGGTGCGGCTGGACCTCTTCGGGTTCATCAGTTCGGTGCGTTTATAAAAAGCATGCTGTAGATACGTCCATGATAATCTGCGTGCTGTGGTGAATGCGCGCATGAGCTTCGTAACATGTGCAAATGTGGTATGGATGGTAGAGATTCTTCGCAGATGCCCCTCTTGACACGTTTCATAGCTTTGCCCTCCACCCATCATTTTAAGGAATTGACGCTCATTAACACAAACACTCCATCGGATGAGGCATTTGATGTGTTGCAAGATCACTCGCTGGCAACCACACCAACTGAGGCAAAAAATAATCTCTGTGAGTTCTTTGGCAATGTCCTGAGATAACTCAGGCACAAATTTTGAGCAGTTTCTGGACACGCCACATGGTTGGGGAAGATGAGCTACCGTCGCCGCCATACAATATGCGTGTAGTTTTGTCCATGCTCTTCAACAGCGGCGCCTTTCACCTTTATTGCGGTCCTGGAGGTACCTCGAAGCATTGGCCTAGTACCCCAGAACAATAAACTAGGATTCAGATGAGGGATTAGATGGGAATTTCATACGGCTCTCGTTCTGGTTCAAGCAGTTTTATCGTCCCACTTCAGTGTTCAGTTCCCAGCCTGCCTGTGTCCGTCTCCCTTGCCGTTTCGGATCGACACCTGGATTTGGAGACCTGGAGTGACACCTGCTGCCTGCGTCCGTCTCCCTTGCCGTCTCGGATCGACACTTGGATTTGGAGGCCTGGAGTGACACCTGGATTTGGAGACCTCCACGGACACCTTTGGGCGTGCGTGTAGACCTCGTTCGGTCGGTCGGTCGGCTTGTAGTCTGGCTAACACGCGATTTAACGGACTGAACCTGGACTTGAACGGCCCGAAGTCAGCCTGGATCTAGACGAAAGACGTAACTTTTCAGCCCGCCAACCCGTCAATTTCTGACCTGCAAGAACGTGCGAATCTTTGGCTGGATTATTGACCAGCCTCGGTGGATTTTTGTCATTCAAAATTTTGGCTGAAAAATTGATATATTTTTCGCCATTCCTTAAATTTTAAAATCATCTCAAAACCAGAGTGTGCTGCCAAACACAAAACAGTCATAAAACAAAATATTTTCATTTTCACAGCAAACGCACCAGTTACAGAAAACCCATAGCAGACATGATACACCGGTAAACCAAGATGCACAAAATGCACAGCTTTAAACAGACATCTCGCTAATTTTTTTAGAATAACAACCCATATTTTCAAAACTATAGCCTCATTTCATTGAGTAGCAGATACGTGGGTCCGTGATTTAGATACGCTGCACTCGGCTGTTGTCGTGAGGGTGTGGTGCACTCAACCTGTTTTGGTTTACACGAGACCATACCCCACAATTCACAATCAATATCTATGATTAATGAAATGTGTGGGAAACTGTGGGCCACGGGTGTCGATTTGCATTCCTTTGTGAGGATCCTGGCCCCCTTAGCACTGAGTTGGCCCCCTGCAATGTTGGCTCGGCCGCTCCATGCTTTTGGCTGGAACACTGCAAAAAACGTGGGTAAAAGATGATCATAACACAAAGACTATCTTCTTTGCTGTGTCTGCGTAGTGGCGTCTCCTACCACTCTCGTAACAAAACGTCATGGTTACTGTCACCACAAGATACAGATCGTAACAGCTGAGTGGATAAACGATGTAATAAACCTCACATACCAAACGCCATAAGACACGCAACGGTTTGCAAGGTTAAAGTGAAAAGCTCTAGAATATGTGGGTGACCTTATTCCTCCATGGCTAATCCCGTCCCCGTTCCCCACAACCAAAATGCGTGCCGCTTCCCATGGCCGCCATAGAAAAGCGCCGTCGGCGCCCTAAGGTGGTCTCTAAAGGGGCGCCTTCACGTGCCAATCAGAGAGAGACGCGGGCGTCCAGTGCGTGCTACATGGATCCAACCTTTCATGCCGTCTATACTGCTCAAATTAAGACTTTTATGAATTACACTAAGGCTAAAAACATATGATGCGTCTTATCAAAAAAAGATGGGCTCAATCCAATGAGAAAAAATGGAGTGTGCTGTCGGACCATGGGATCGGCCCTTCCAATAATTCACAAAAATTGACATCCCTGTTGTGGGCCACTTTGTCCTAG